AAAAAAAATTTTATTTATTTTTTAAAAAATTAAATAATTAATAAACTTGAATTTTGAGTAAATCATATTTATTGTAAAACACTATATGATATTATTTAAAAATATTTTAAATAAATCTATTTTTGATTATTTTTTTTATTAAAATAAATTATTTTTGAAATTAATTTTTTCAAGTTGTTTTAAAGAAAATATTAAGACTTTATTAGTACAGAAGTAAAAAAAAACTTTTTATAAATATCTTTTTATATATACAATAAATAGGTATCTATATATTAAGCATGTAATAGACTATTGTTAAGTTAAATAGAGATTTGATATATATTGTGTATTCTTTACTAATTAATAAAAAGTATTATCCAATGCCTAAGTTTAAAAAAAAATCAATTTTTTCATTTTTAAAATAAATTTGTTATTTTTTGATTAAACAAAAATTTTAATTAAAATAAGTAAGTTAATTATTAAATAGAAAAATTTTTGTTTGATATAACTAGTTCGTTTCTATCTTCGTTTACAATCATGTTTACTTAAAAAAAAAAAGTGCGCAATATATTGTATCACAGGTGTTTGTATAATGAACCAATCAAAGTATCAGCTTATGTGCTGTACGCGTGTGCAAAAAAGATTTGGCGGCTAGCTCCAAAAATGCGTTAACATTATCATACTACTAATGCGTAGGTGGCTGGTTTACGCAAGTTTTATCCAGATCTAATCAAGTATTCTGTTATATGGATTACAATCGCTAAATTTATTTACTTCCCTGGAAATGAAAGGTCCTTGTAATATGCGAACCCGCATCATATGAATTTCAATTTCCGGAGCTAATAAAGTGACTAAGGCCAAATAGGAAAGGATTGGCTAGCCAAACAACGTTTCTTGTGATTCTCATTGCGTGTAGACAAATATTTGTGTAATATTAATGATGACGCACAAACTAGTAATACAATTTCGTAATGTTGGCATGAGTTGTTTGTTACACAAATGTTTATGTCACGTGACAAACCAGGCAATGATTACGTTGATGCATATATAACAACAATCATTACCTTTATGACAGCTATTACGTAGTTTTTTCTTGAGAGCGGAGAAGGATAAAGAAATTAAGTGTATTATTTATATTAGGTTATTTGCAGGTATTGTTAGCATAGGCGTTTAGTTATTAGTTTTGATATTAGCTCTTTAAAGAAGCTTCAATCTTTTTAAAGGATATCTTTACTTTCACAGGCAGGACGAGAGCTCACCTTATTTGGGAGAATATTTCTGTAATCAAGAAGAGGCTATTGCGAATTGCATAATCCATTTATTTTCAACACAAGGTAAATTTCAATAATTTTCTTTATGGCAATTTTGTTTACTCTTCTTTCGATAACCATTTTACATTGACAGATAATTCGACAAATGTAAATATTTAGTAGGTTCAAACGACGTTTTATATGTTGCCGAGAATCCTTATTGACCCATAATAATACTCTTTCCCCACAAAAAACATCAGGTACTTCTAGCACTCCGAAGAAATCATCAATAATCACGAGGAGATCAGCATGAAGCCAGTGAATTTTGATCTCCGGATTCCTACTAATACACCCGCACGTCATTATCATTCAGCTACAATAGTCTCAAGAAGAGGAAATTCAATTAACAGCAACAACTGCAATAATAATAATAATAATAATAGTGGTAGCATTAGTACTAATAGTAATAGTAATATTATTCATGAAAAGTCCATTGATTATTATGAACATTTGCACAAACAACAATTTCAAACTCCACAACAAAAATCATCAAGAGGACATCCCACGGAAATTTCAATACCAATTTATGAGGATAACATACGTTTTCCATTGTACCCGACACCTCCACAGCCACAAAATTCGCTTTCGGAGAGAGCTGCAACTCGAAATCAACGACCACCACAACCTTTCCCACAACCACCAAATTTATATAGGTTGTCTTTGCAATTAACAACGGAATTAGATATTCAGAAGTGGTGGGATAATGTAATCGAAATATTTTCATCTTCGTACTGTGCAACGCGCATTTTGCTTTCAGTCCCGCATGATTTAACCGACACGATAAATACCTCCTGGGGCGTCAAAGCAATTTACAATAAAGAATATTGTTGTCACGGAAACTTGTGTTGTCAAGATAGTATTGATAGTTGTTCGTCATCATCTTCAAGTGATCCCGTACATCCCGTATACGAAAATTTGAGGGAGTTCGATAATGTTGATCCTCTGGTGGATAATCAAGGAATCATAAGAATTTTGCAAAGCGGAAATATCGAGGTTTTGACGAGGGAGTACAAGCTGCAAGATGAAGGAGAACACAGCGTCAGCAGCTCTAATGACGAGAATATAAAACTTAACACTCATAGATTCATCAACAAGCATCAAAGCAGTGAGCCTCATCAAAAAAATTCGTCAGATGGAACATCGACCAACGGAATCAATCGAAATGAGATTTCAGATTCTCTTGCTATATGGCCACAAGTATTAGACACCCCTAGTCTAAATGATCTGGAGGAGGGTCAAAGTAGTTATTTTCAAAATAGCGAACTCTTCAACCAAGAAAATGCACCGAATGATCACCATCACCACCATCAAAGATTAGCCTCGGAATTTCTGGAAAAACAACAACAACAACTTTCACCTTGGACCGAACCAAGTCTTATCAACGAGAGAAGCGGAAATCCTTTCTTTCGACCTCAAACACTGCCGGAAATTAGTGATGAATCGTTTAATTCAAACATTACGTTCTCGAACCCACTTCATAGCAATGACTCTCACCCGATGATCGCGGACAACATTTGCTCAATTGTACATATACCTCTCATTCATCCCACCACTGTAAAAAATGTTGTGCCCACAAATACAAATCATACGCCTGTACCAATAGCTATTCTTTCTTTTCTTTCATGCATTGTACCATATCCACAAGAGTTGCTAAAATCTCTGAAATTTTTGGCACCCTTCTTGGCAACAACTTTGTCGTTCTCAATGATACATCAGCAAATATATGTCAATTCAATTAGGGAGAGACGTCGTCGTAACAGTCAACGGTCAAGCGTGACGACGATTCCTTTGTCAGTCGCTCCTGTGGACGATGATGATGAGTGCATGTCATCTGGATATTCAACATCATCGTCAAACTCTTCAAAATGGGAATATGCCACTGTCTTCTCGGCCACCTATGGTCACAGTCCAGGCGAGGATTCAGGGGAAGAGGATCCTTTCAACGTATATAAAAATATATCTTCACGCACGGATAGCGACGAATTCACCCCAGAATCCGAGAATATAACTTACGATGTCTCTCCCTTTAATCCTTCGGCACCACAAAGGCCAGTTAAAAGTCGTAGGGTTTCGTTGCCGGCCGATCATTCGTTACGCCGTAAAAGGCGACTATCAAGAAATTTAAAAGCATTGAGTACAGGTAATTTTCACCGTCGTCATAATTCAAACGCGCAACCCGCTTCAATGGACAAGTTATATTTAGCGATACCTAATACAAAAATGCTTCGACTTTTAATGGATTTGATGCCAAATGTTGTGTAGTAAGTGTTTATTCGTATGATGGACCATAAGGTTGCATATTATTTATTTATTTACGTTCTTTTATTAATTTAATTATTTATTCAGCACGTGCACCCCTGGAGGAGGAGATTGCAATTGGGTAAACATGCGATTGCTTAAATACACTGGTCGTTCCATTGATGATCTGTTGGGTCATGGGTGGATGGAGGTTGTACATCCCGAGGATAGGCCGCGTGTTTTGGAAATGTGGAGAACAACATTTTCGCGTGGTGAGGGATCAAGTGCAGAATATCGCATGCGCAGATTTGATGGTCAATATCGCTGGTTTCTTGGTCGCGCTGGTCCCTTGCGTGATGCGAGGGGTGTGAACATTCGATGGTTTGGAACTTGTACCGACGTTCACGATCAAAAGTTGGCAGAACAAGTTCAGAACAGGCAACTACACATTGAAGCCAACGAAAAGAAGTATCGACTTCTTGCCGAAGCCATACCTCAGATAGTGTTTACTGCCACGCCCAAAGACGGAATAACCTACGTCAATAAAAAATGGCTGGATTATTCTGGTCAAACAGAAGAAGCAGCGAAGAATCAAGGATTCTTATTTCACGTTCATCCTGATGACCGAAATCGCTGTCGTTTACCAGAAGAGAAGGGTTCGGACCAAATGATATATTCGACTGAAGTACGCCTGATGCGAAATGATGGGGAACACAGGTGGTTTCTGGTAAAATGCATTAGTGTGGAAGTTTCGGATCAAGGTCGTAAGTGGTTTGGTACTTGGTGGGTTCATCGTTTCGAATTCACTTAATCATTCGTTCTTTGGACGAGTCATCGCTCACATGACAGATTTCCTAATTTCAGCACTGACATTCATGACCATAAGATGGTAGAACAAAAGCTCAAAGAGGCACACGATGCTGCAAAGAGATCGACGGAAAGCAAAACGAGATTTCTATCTAATATGTCTCATGGTAATATTTTAGAATTTGAGTGATGTTTGCCTAAGTGATTCACGAGCTTACAGCGAAATATTCTTTAGAGATTCGTACACCGCTCATTGGCATTACCGGTATGATAAATTTCATGCTGGCCACCAGCCTTACGGTAGAGCAGCTCGATTATGCGCACACCATTCAACAATCTGCCGATGCTTTGCTCCTAGTTATTAACGATATCTTGGATTTAAGCAAGGTCGAGGCAGGAATGATGAAATTGGAGATGGAACCTTTCTCTGTTCATAACATGATCGAGGATGCCAACGAATTACTCTCAACCTTGGCGATTCAAAAAGGCCTTGAATTGAGCTTCATTGTGGATGACAATGTTCCAGAAGTAATATGCGGGGACCGAATCCGACTGCGTCAAGTATTGTTGAATGTCATAGGAGTGAGTAGGATTTTTAATTGTGTAATTCGCAAAAAAAAAAAAAAAAAAAAGAAGTTTTTCTTTACTTATTGGTGATAATAAATAGAATGCGATAAAGTTCACGTCAAAGGGTGAAGTCTTTTCTCGTTGTTCGATATACTCGACGCCGGATGTTGAACTTAACGAAAACGAGGTTTTGCTGCTGTTCGAGGTGGTCGACACCGGCGATGGTTTTGATACAGAGGAGGAGGCAGTCATGTTTAAACCATTCTCGCAGGTTGATACCTCTGTGAGTGTTGCAAGGAGAATCCTTTGCACTTGAACGTCTCACCTTAATCGGTGATCATTAATTCTATTTCATTCCAACTTCTCATTCAGTCAACAAGAAAACATGGTGGCAGTGGGCTTGGACTGGTCATATCTAGGCAACTTATAGAACTACATGGCGGAAAGATGTCATGCAAAAGTAAAAAGGGCGTTGGGTCGACGTTTTATTTTTCCGCCAAATTCAATATACCTGCCGATTCCACGGCTCCTCGTCCACCGACCCCAACCTCCGAAGTTTCCAATTCACCATTCTTCCGGCACAGCAAAGTTTCCGTTCAGTCAAAGTCGATGGCAATTAACGACAACAGTACGCCGCCACTATCATCATCGTCATCAACATCATCATCGTCATTACCACTTTCACATTCTGAAAATTTGCCAACTCAAAACCTTTCCATTGCCAACGGTGACAACTCTCAACCGAATGGAACTTTAACGCCACCCGTGTCCTCAAGACCTCTGACGCCTACTAATGCATCGAGACCTGTTACTCCATCATTCAACATCCGAAAACCTTTGCAAATGGACCTGCCTCGTCCGGCGTGCGTTCTCATAGTAGCAGATTTACCGCATGCTCGAGAAACTCTCATACATTATGTCTGTTCCATTCTTCCAAAATGTCCTGCACCAGAAATCGAAGTTTCCGGCGACTATAACGAAGCTCGGGATCAACTTTCTTCTGCGAACATTAAATCATATACTCATATATTTATAAATTTAGCTTCGCAAACCCAAATTATTTCATTAGCTACGATAATAAAACGCGCGATTCATCTTTCCTTGACCGTTACTGTGATATTAACAACGCCCATTCAGCGAGCGGGTATTGTGGAGGGCACGCAAAATGACTTACCTGAACGCGTTGATTTTATTTTTAAACCCCTAAATAGAAGTAAGATGGAAGGTCTATTTGATGTCACGACGACAGTAAGAGAGAACTTTTTGAAAAGAAGAAACACGCATAAAATCGTTGCGAGTCAAAAGGAAGTGTTTAAGCGTATGGCCGCAGACGTAGGCGATAAAGGATTCCGAGTTTTGCTGGTTGAAGACAATGAAGTTAATCAGAAAGGTAAAGGCGATCAAGATTTTTTAATTCGTCATATCAGAGCATGTGTTAAATGGGTAAAAAACTTTCAACAGTGATGATCAAATATCTTACCAAAGTTGGATTGGGTGTCGAAATCGCCGGTAACGGAGAAGAATGCTTGAAAAAGTTTTATTCTCATCCACACAACTATTATTCATTAATACTGGTATGTGAAATCCGTTAACTGGGGTTCATTAGAAGCAGTTCACTTACTGATCTTTTTTTTTTTTGTAGTGTGACCTATTCATGCCTGTGAAAGGTGATTATTATTTGCTTTTTATCATTCGTTAGGTAAATTGCTAAACATCATTTTTTATTAAATCGTAGATGGATATGAGACGGCAGCAGAAATCCGAACGTGGGAAGTAAAAAATTTAAAAAATGAATCACCAGTGCCAATAATAGCTCTTTCGGCGAACGTAATGTCCGACGTGGCAAATAAGTGCCGTGAAGTTGGGTTTACTAATTACATTAGCAAACCTGTGAACTTTTCCACATTAAGTGATGTTATAAGGGAGATGTTAATTGGTAAATCAAGTATTTATAACAATAATCATGAAGGATGTGGTAAAGATTGTGCAGAAGATGACGTATCATGACAATGCTAGATAACAAAGTAATGATGACAGCCTGTCAGACATTGTTGAGTTCGTTGGATTTACGTCTAAAGTAAATTGGGGTATCTATTTAATTAAAGAAAAAAATCAATTCATCGATATTATTGTATTTTTACGTAAAAGTAATGACTTATTACTCACATTTCCTCGCTTTTTTTGATGTCGGTTTATCTTAAATTTGATAAAATCTTGTATTTATTGCAATTGAAAAAAACCTCGAAATAAAACTACAAATTTAATAGGAACGAATCACATGATTTATACATATCAAAATCACATGATGCCATTGAAAACACCAGCCAGCATTATAAAAAATTCCGACCGGCATTATATGCCGTTGTAATATGGTATGTTTTTTTCTCTTTTTTGATCACAAACAAAGTATTAGATACTGTATAAGATTTTTATTAATGCAAAATATATAATCAGTAATTTATTTCAGATTGTTTTGAACATCATTGGTAATGAAAACGACATAGATAAGAATTAAATGATTAATACTTATTTAGTAATAGTATTGTTAAATTTGAGTTATATTTCAATTTTGTTTTTTATTTTTTTTTGTAATATCTATAGCTAGGTTATATTGTTTTTATTCAAGTAGTATAATATATATTATAGCTACCAAAGGTGATTGATTGATATGAAATATATTAGTTTTTGAAATATAAACAAGTTCCTATTAGTCACAATTATATATTTTAATAATGTTATTAGTAATTAGAAAAAATATTCTAAAAATGTTTGCTCTTAAAAAACTTAAGTTCCTTAATAAAGACTTTTATGATATCAAAAAACAAATGATGAGTAATATAGATTATAAACTCACATCTCTTACTTAAGTTTCTCAAGTGGTGACAAAACTTTAATGAAAAAAGTTGAGGTTTAAATACTTTCTTTGAGATATTCCAATCTATACTTGTTTAAATGAAAGACCAGTTGGATTAATTTGTTCAATGCTGTAAGTAATAAAAAAGAAGATTTTTTCTAAGGTTCAAATAAAATAAGAAGACTATTTCAATCAGATAAATTCTTTTTAAGAAGAGACTGTTTTTATTTTTGGATTTTTTTGATAGATCTTGAATTTTTCTTTTCCCCTAATTAATTTTTCTTTTCTTCTTTTTAACTTAGTAATTCATTGGTTTTCAGATCAATTAATAGTAACAAACTGTTGATAATAATCCTAGTAGATAAAGAATATTACCAATCTATCAAAAGAATATAATATTGTTTCTAAAATTTAATTTAGAGTACTTATATATGAAGATAAGTTGATCACTTTATAAAAATCTATAAACTATTATAGATTTTGTTTTAACTTCTCAATAAAGACAAGCTATTGTGATATAATTGTGAATTAAAAAAAATATAATAATAAAAATTTTTAAGTTTAATTTTAAAAACAAAGTTTTATATTATAAAAAACTTTTAATAAAGATTTTTCTTATATATATAGTATTATTAATAAGTTGTTGTTATTATATATTTTATCAAGTCATAGGGATATAAAAAACTATAAAGAGAATAGATTGAAAAATGTTTAAAAATATATAAATATATTATAAAATAATAATAATAATAAATAAAATAAAAATTTTCTTTAACTTTTTTTAAAAACTTACTTTTTAAGATTTTTTTTTCAATAAAAAATATCCTATTGAGATATTTTTTTTATTTAATTATTTAAGGAATTTATCTATTTTTAATCTTGATTTTTCTTATATATTATTTAAAAAGATTTATTATTTATTAAAAAATTTTATTTTTAGATAGATATATATATTTTTTAATAATCTGCAATCATGCCGCAATGGTATGTCTCTATTGAGATATTGAAAAATACCACAAAGTTTACAAACTTTCACAAAGTAACTAACTTGTCATTGTACATTATTAGTTAAAGGACTATATTACTTAAAAAATATAAAAAGTTCACCAAGCTAGTTTAGACTAAACAAAATTAAGCCTAAACTAGATACTCTAAGTCAGATTTTAGGAATAATATTTTGCTCTCCTAGTAGTTTGATATTAGCCTCTAAGTTAACTAGGGTCATTGCCAACAGTTTGTCACTGTTAATTATCCCCAAAAATAATGAATTGCTGAAGTTGGCATTGAAAAAAAAAAGAGAAAAAAAAAAAAAAAAAAAACAATTCAAAGTTTTCCAAAAGATTCTTGCTCCATTTCATAGTTTTTTTTCAAAAGGAGTTTATCTGATTAAAATATTCTCTAAGCTTTATAATGGTTAAGGAACTTAATCATTTTTGAAAGTGACTTTAAGAAGAACATTTAAGGAACTTACTCTTTTGCTGATATATGTATTTGCTTGATGCTATTGGAATCAGCATTATATTATGGAAGAGTTTGTCTGTCCGGAATAAAGAAATCTTTTCAAGAACTTTGCCTGACTGGGATAGAAACTTGAAGATCTCAGCTTTTGTTCAAGAAAGATTTTTTACTATTTGAGGAACTTAGTGAGAGATGGGAGTTGAATCTTCTTTTCCTACCTATCGCTTATCTTTCGATATTATAATTTTTTCTGAAGGTTGAATTTGCATAATTGGAGAAAATACTTTTTCTAGAACTTTTCTTCCTACATTATCAATGATATATCACGACACATGAGTAAACCAATAGGAGCTTTTTTATATTTCAAAAACTGACATGTTTTGTGTCAGTCAATTACCTTTGATTAGGATTTGTACTATCCAAAATTCAGGGTCAAATTGAGATAGGCAAAATTTACCAGAAAATCATGAAAATGGGAGCTTTAAGAGTGTCAAGACAGTCAAAAAGGGAGAAAATAAGCCTTTTTACTACAGAAAATCTCTATAAACCTTTCACTTCAAAGGTTAGAAAGACTTTTGGGTACTTTACAATCAGTTCTTCTTCCTTTGGGAACTTTTTTGCTGTTGGTAACAAAGGTGTTACTTGACTTTTATTGGTTACTAGAAGTAAAGTTTTTGAGTGAAAAGATTTGTAAACAATAGAGGAAGGGTAGAAGCAACTCTTGAAATCATACTTCAAGTTGTTTTAAGGAAAATGTTAAGACTTTATTAACAAGGAAATATAAAAACTTCTTGCAAACATCTTTTTTATGTATGGTCAAAGGATCAGTGGAACAGATCCATATATTTTATTTTTAGATATTTTTAAACAATAATTTTGTATTTATTTATAATAGACTAACAACTTATAATAAATCTCAAGTTTTAATATAATTCAATAAAAATTAAACTATATTTTTTTAATATAATACTTTTACAGTTACTTTCAAAAGTTTGAGTCCACTTACTATATTTTTATTATAAATTTAATCTTTAATAATTTTTAAATCATTAATTATATAATCAAAATTTATAAAATTTATATATATTGTGTTTTAATACTTATTCTATTTCTTATATTTTTTAAAAATATTTTTATTAATATATTTTAAAGCTTTATTATTGTTAAATATCTTTATATTTTTATTAATTATCATATAATTTATGATAAAAGCCAATCAAAATTCTTCAAAAATAAAAATTTGAAAAAGAAAGAAATTTTTCAACAATAATAAAACTTTAAAAATTATATATAAAATTTTTTTGAAAAAAAAAATAATAAAT